GTTAATAACAGGTCGGGTTACATTCGGGTCGGGTGAACAATAGGTCGGGTTTAATTCGGGTTTTCACGGGTTAAAACGGGTTAGGGTAATTCTTGGGTTCGAGTCGGGTTCGGTTCAAGTCAATAATTTGCGGGTTATAATCACGTCGGGTCATTTTCGGGTTTGAGTCGGGTTCAGTTCAAGTAATAATTTGCAGGTTGTAATCAGGTCGGGTCATTTTCAAGTCGGGTTCGGTTCAAGTCAATAATTTGTGGGTTATAATCAGGTCGGGTCATTTTCAAGTCGGGTCATTCTCGGATTCAAGTCGGGTATGTTCAAGTTAATAATTGGCAGGTTACAATCAAGTCGGGTCATTTCCAAGTGAGGTCGTCATATTTGGGTTTTACTAATTATAGATAGATAATTATCATTTTCATCAAACTAATTATATCCTTTGACTATAATATATATGGCAATATATACTAGGGAACTATATATAATCTATAATTTAGGAAGATAATTATCTCCTTTGACCATACAACAAATGTATACTACTACCTCCGGTCCAATTTACTCGCAACAAAGGGGTATTATTTGTGAGACATAAAATATTTATTTGTTGCAAGTAAATTGGACCGGAGGTAGTATATTTAACTCTTAAATTTGAGGATGATACTCTTTTCTTTTGCTGGCTTGGACTGACTTGGTCTCCCTAGACAAGTACAAAATGCTTTGATAAACAATAATAAGGTGGTCAGATTGCATTTAAGGTGATTTGAAATCAGGCCAGGAACAATTTGGGTTGAATTTAGGTCGGGTCAATAACAAGTCGTGTTGATTTTGAGTCCGGTTAGTAACAGATCGTGTTGAATTTTTGGGTCGGGTTAGTAATAGGTTTGGTAAAATTCGGGTTGGGTCAATAACAAGTCGGGTTGAATTTGGGTCAGGTCAATAACAAGTCAGGTTGATTTCGGGTCGGGTTTGTAACAGGTTGGGTTGAATTCGAGTCGGGTTAGGAACGGGTCGGGTTAAATTCAGGTCAGGTTAGTAACAAGTCAGGTTAAATTTGGGTTTTGACGGGTTAAAATGGGTTTGGGTCAATTTCGGTTCAAGTCGGGTTTGGTTCAGGTCAATAATTTACGAGTTACATTCGGGTTGGGTCATCTCCAGGTTAGTTCATGTTCGCGTTCGGGTCTCACATACTCGGGTCTAGGGTTGGTTTCAAGTCGGGTTTGTGTCACCATTTTTTCGGGTTCAGATGGGTCTGTTAATAATCAGGGTTGAGTCGATATTTCGAATCGGGTCAACTTTTGACAGCTTTACTTTTTAGAAACATATGAATAGCATGGCTCTTTGGTCTCCTTCAATTCTTTCTGCCTCAATAATCTATCTTTGGATCAATCTTTTTTACATATCTCATAATAAGTTTAGATATGATAGTTTAGGAAAATTAGTTTAAATTAGTCTTGATGATTTCATATAAATGCTATTAAAATCTAGGTAAGTTCAATTTACAAGTAAAGTAAAATAAGTATTTCAATTATTTAGATTAGATCAAATAATTTTAAAAAACAAGTGAACAAAACACACCATCAGTACTATTCTTGAATAAAATCTAAAATGTGCGGTTTAAAATAACTTAAATCATCTTCTTATTGCCATCTATCGTTTTTTCTATTCTATTCTTTTCTTTTCTTTTCTTATTGTTCAGGAGTTGTTGCCACCTACCTATTGATAAGGTCTTTACAAGTAGTCACATTAGAAAATTACATAGTAAACAACCTATAAACTTATGATGTTCATTTTCTGTTTTACCAACACCATTTGTACTGTGATTGAAATTTGTAAATAAATTTCACATCACTTAAACATAATTTCATTAAATAAACAAAATTAAAAGAAAAGAAAAAAAAATTATACTTTCTATTGCTTTGTATCACTAGTCATTAGTTTAAACTTTAAAGTTCATGGACTCACTTGACCATACTTTAGAATAATACTTGTATATGAAACTTAATTAAGCAAGTAAGCTAATAAGAATTGAAGCATGCATGGGAGTGAATGAATGAAGTGGCACAATTGGCTTTCGGTTGGTTTTGCTTTGCTTTCAATACAACTTTTTATACGGTCTCACGTCTTCACGTATTATCCTCTTCTCCTACCTTTGCTTACTTTTTATGTATCCTTTCTACTCCTATTATAATATTCTTTTTATTTTTTTTTCCTTTTTACCATATCGTACCAAGAATTATTAATTTTAAAACAAGTACAATATTGGCGGTTTTTATTATACTCCCTCTGTTTCATGATTACATTTCTATATTTTTCGCTGAAACATTCTTTATTTTATTGGTTTATATTGCTACAATAACCTAATTATTGTTTGTGTTAGTAGTAGAAAATTAATATAATAAAGGGAAGGAGAGATGGGTGCAAGGCTGCCATCATAGTTAACATGCTAATGCCAAGTGTAACGTTTTGCTATATATGATACTTGATTAGGACCTAATTAATCCTAAGAAAATGAAGTTCACTGTTTAGACTTGAGAGTTAAGACTTGAAGACTAATCATAATTATGAGATTAAATTATCAGTGGTTTAGTTTGGTTTGGTTTGTTTGTCCTTTTTAACCTTGCTTAACTGAACAAATTATTAGCTACCATTCTCTTTCATTCCTTTCACAATCTCACCAACAAAGTTCATTAAGATTAGATTATATGCAATTTTTCTAATTAAGTACTTAATTAGTTCTTAATGACAAAATTATCTGATTGAATTTGTTGACAGCCAAACAAGATATAAAGGGGTATTAAGCAAAGTTTAATTAATTTGGTTAGACTTTTACCTCTGATCCTTAAGATATTAGTTCGAATCTTTTCAAGTGATGTTATTTTGAAGGTGAGGGTTCCCTTAACTTTCCCTAGCTAATACTCTCAAATACCTAGCTACCTCACAAATACTTGGAAAAAAAATAGTAATAAAGTTAAGGCCGGATCAGGGTTATTCATTTCATGATTAAAAAAAGGTTAAAGATAATAAATAAATTAATTAAATTCTTAGTCAGAGTAAGTAGAAAATAGTTAGATGTTCTTGATTAAGCTAATTATTTACTTTTGATCAATCAAATCTTTGACAAGCTCTTTAGCTTTAAAGGCTCATTTTCATCCAACAATAACTTTTGCAACCTAAATTGGACCCAAAAAGATGTATATGTTCAAGTCATGTTTATCCCTTAGACAAAATGATTATTGATTGGTTGGCGTATATGTTATTGGTAAGTAAGATGTGACATTGGCTTCCAAATATAACAAAAAAAAAAAAACAATTTTAGCAATTTCTCGAGTCAATGTAACAACTAATTCTAAACCGTAAGAGTTTAATTTTATGTAAAAAGTAAAACAATTATTTTTTACCCAACTTATAATTATAAATAAAGATGTTGGGGCCTAGGAAAGTAAAAGTAAAAAAGGAGCAAGAGTTTGTTCATTCTTCAATGGATGTACTTGTCCATCTTTCAACTCGATTTTTGGTGTTTGATCTTACACTAAAAAATGTCAATGATGCATTAAAAGTGGCATATGCTAGCTTTTGATAATCATACTACCTAGTGTTGTGCTTTATCAATGTTCTAGGACATGGTAGTTAGTTACTTTTTAATTCTACTATGCATGGACCTATATTATAATTCTTACGAGTTTGCTGTTACATATCTATGAATTATGAAGTGTAAAGAAATAAATTAGTCGTGCTGTTCTCAAATCAATAGGATTCAGAAAGAGCTGATTTATGCATGCATTTTGGTTAAACCTAGTGATAAATGAGTTAATAGTACGGAGTAGAAGATATCTAAGGGTATAATCTTGTATATATGTTCTTTTTTTTTGACAATATACTATGTTATTATACAGTCCGTACATAATTAGACGTATTTACTACAAATTGGAGTATCTAAGAAGAGTAACAAAACATCATATACGATTATTATTCAGTGAATACAATTTTTAAAAGTTAAAGTCAGTAGCGGATCCAGGAATTGTACATAGAGGGTTCGAATTTTATCAAACACTCAATGTCCGAATGCACGGATATAAATCGGGTATTCAAGTATAAAATAAAGTGTTTAAATAAATACCAATACACAAGTACACAACACTACAATAATTAAAAAAAATTGATGATTTTTTAGATTTATTCCAAAAATGCTCCAAACTTTTTAGGTGGTCACAGACTATAATAATTAAAAATAAATAAAATTCAGGAGTACTAAACTGCCCAATTAAAGTTAACAATATAACAAAACAACAAACAAAAACTCACAAACAGCATATTCAGTATTAAATTAACATTATACAATTGAAAAACAATATATAATTGACAATAATTCAATTCATTAATCAAACAACTACAACAAATAACAAATTTACACTTAAAAGAAAAAGATTAAAATTGAGAAATTCGAAGAGCTATGGTGCCATGGCGGATTTTCGATTAAAAAAAAAAACAAAGAAAACAGGGAAGATGAAAATTGAGAAATTCGAAGAAAATTTCGAGCAATTAAGACATGGGTTTTGTAGACATGGGTCTTCTTTCAGAAATCAATGAAAACACAGATTATTTTAGGAGAGAGAAAAGAAAGAGAAACTGAGGAGTCGGATAAAAAAAAGGAGAAAATTGAAAAGAAAAAAAAAAACTTAGAATGCATCTAATGTCTAGACTAAGTCTCGAACACAAGACCTTTTGTCCAAAACTAATTACTCTATCCAACTGAGCTGCGCGGTTAACTTATTGTATGATTGTTTTGAATATTATTTATATAGTTTTTCTGTTAGTTTTTTTTAAAAACCCATTTTTTCCCGGATCTAACGGGGTTCAGTTGAATCCCCTGAACCCCCGCTAGATCCGCCACTGGTTGAAGTGTTATTTATCACAAGTAGTCAGTAGACATTAAAAAAAAAAAATTAAAAAATTTAGATTTAGTTTTCATAGCATTACAATATAAATTAATTATTTGCAAATATAAAATAGGTAAAATAACTCACAAAAAAGGGTTGAGAAAGACACGTTTGCCAAAAATAAAAAACATTAGTAATGAAAAAACATTTTGCCACTAAGTCACTAAGTATATTAAAATTAGGTAGTACATTAATCAGTGGGGTTCAATATGACAATTTAACAACTTACAAGAAGAGAAGTATAAAAAAATTCAACCATGAAAATGGAAATACTACATATTTATACATAGATCATTTCATTTCATAGAATAATAAGATTAGTGTAGAGAAAAAAGAAATACTAAAAAAAAAAAAGGAAAAATTCAAGTAGACGTTACTCTATGCATTACCCTTATATTGACTCAATTCATCTTCCTGTCGTCCTACGTTCTCTACCATTTCTTCCTACTCTTGCTTTGCTTCATCCTTGTACAACCACCACAATTACTCACCCCCCTCTTCTCCTCTCTTTCTCGATCGATCATCTCTATTTCCATTACCTATGATTTGATGCGCTAACAAAAGCTCTTCATAACAAACGAACTTATATATCACTAGATTATATGATAAAGTTTCCAAGAACTTGATGAATTTGTCCGAAATTATAAAATGTTATGCAATATAATTGTTTAGTAAAAGTTTAAGATTTGCATTTGAAGGAGGAGGTAGAAGATTGAAGAAGAGAAGCAAATAAAATGAGTTCATTTACTACTCCAAATGAGACTAGACAAAGGTCCTACGTATCAATGTGAGTTTTCTACTTACTAAATCACTTACTATAATTACTCCGTATTTACTTGTCTTTTGTCAATTTAATTAAAGTAGTCCTAAAATCAAAATGTAAGCATAAAAAGAGTAAAATTAACTAAGAATTGAAGTAAGAAATATTTGATATTTTGATGTACTACGTACATACTTGCATTGCATGCTAACCTACCTTGAGATTTCCCCCCTGTCTTTATTTTTATTTTATTTTATTTTATTTTTTTGGGTAAAGAAAGTTCATTACTTGTCATTTTGTAAATTACTAATTCTATGTTAATCTAAAAATGCAATATCACTAAATAATGTGTGTACTATGTGCTTACTAGATATTTTTTGTCACATACATCAATTAATTTCTTACGAAGTGAACAAACCGAAGTTGATTGATGGATTTAATGCCAACCAAGCAAATCTTACAAACCCTAGCTAGTTTATTTTCCCATCGTAAAAATTGGATCAATAATACGTATGTAGTACATATAATTAAGCAAAATTATCATTTTAAAATCCAAATTATGGTTAAGTAGTAGTAATTAGCTTAGGTAATGTGGTCCAATGATTGCTTGCACATTATGGTACTAAACAAACTGGTCATGCTAATTAAGAATTATAGTTAATGAAAGAGTAGAAACTAAGTTAGGCAATAATAAAGCAATAATATAAATCCAATGAGTATATTGAAAGCAAAAACAGTAAGGTCAAGGACAACTCAGAAGTTGATGAATGTTTTCCCTAAGATAAATGACCCTCTTCTTCTTAAGATATTTCTACTCCAATTTTAACTCATAAGTCCCAATTACATCTTTTACATCTATACTACACATTAAAAAGTGTTTCGAAACAATTTTATACATCACATAATTAACACTCTCCCGATCCTCTTTGTGGACCATCTTTCTTACCCTCCTCCCTCAACTCTTAACAACAGTTTTATAAATAGTAATATTAATGAATTATCATATACATGTATGCTTTTCTCAAAAAAATAAAAATAAAAAAAATTACACGTATGCATATAATAGGGTAGTTATGAAGTTATAAACTTATATTTCATCAACATGGGATAGGACATAAAAAATTATATATGGTGAACAAATGTGAACCTTTACCTAGTTTTAAGATCAATTATGTATTAGGTAGACATACAACTTTGACATTCAATATTTTCATAAATTTATTTAGAAAGAAAATATATATTGAGAAAGTATCATGGTATTGGTGGTAGGGGAAAATGAATGACATTTTATAATAAATTAATAATTCCTAACTATTAATCCCTCCTTTTGTTACATTGTGCATTTGAGTAGATATGTATTACTCCGTATCTTGTTATTTTTGAACTTTATGTTTTTCAATCCATAATGTTCTCATTGTTCCTTTTTGCATAATGTCTAATGCACTATTTAACATGTACCACACTCTCGAATGTATAAAATAATTTACGCTCGTCCTTATTCATTAAAAGAAAATACTTACTACAATGTTACTTATATTCCTCTCCGCTCGATCCATTCCTATTTGATAAGCATGTACAATGTTACTATCTTCTAGCCTTCTAGGTGTCGTTGAGACCCAAAGACTTTAGTAAACTTTACCATCTTATTAATACTAAATTAAAATGATCAACAGCGATATTTTTACTTGGTTATTAGTAGAGTTGATTGAAATTATTCTTTCTGATGTTAATGTAGCTTAATCTTACTATATCAATGTCTTAAATGAGTTCCCTTTTTTGCTTAACAGTGAAGACATTTACAAAAGGAAGTTGCACAGAAGCAAAGCAAAAGATACCGAGAAACAATCCAACATATCTATCCTAGACAACAAGGGTGTCAGGACCAAGTTACCACTCTTGAAACTTGCCCTACTCATCATTGTCTCTGTTACTTTCATCACTATATTTTTGCACTCTCCAGCCTTTTGTGGTCATCACCACTTATCGTCACACTCCATCTCCCGGTATGTCCACATGTCGATCTCATGATTGTAAACAAGTGTCTCGAAAAAATTGTCACATTGTCTCAACCCCACACTGTTAAAAGGGCTCGTTAGTCTTCTGACTTGTTTTATTTAGAGGATTTGATTAGAAAAGCTAATGTAAATTTCTGAATTAATTAATGCAGGCCTATTTTGATGAAAAGATGGATATGGGGTAGTACTGATCCTAGATACACATCACACTTACAAATAAATTGGGATGACATCTCAAAAGTTCTTGACAAACTTAATGAAAAAGAGTACCATTCAATTGGCCTTTTAAACTTTAACAAAGATGAAATAAAATCCTGGAACCAGATAATTCCTGAACTTGAACATACTGTCCTGAACCTAGACTATGCTGAAGAAAACGTAACATGGGAAGCGTTGTATCCTGAATGGATCGACGAGGAGGAAGAGAAGGATGTACCATTTTGCCCTTCACTTCCAAAGCTCGAGCCACCAAGGAAACGCCTTGACCTCATTGTTGTGAAGCTGCCTTGTCAGGTTGATCAGCAGAATTGGTCTAGAGATGTTGCGCGGTTGCACTTACAGCTTGCAGCAGCTGGACTTGCAACTTCAGCCAAGGGGAATTACCCTGTTCACTTGCTTTTCATCACTAACTGCTTCCCAATACCGAACTTGTTTAGTTGTAAGGAGTTGGTTAAACATGAAGGAAATGCATGGTTGTATAAGCCAAACTTGAATAAGTTGAGAGAAAAACTTCAGCTTCCTGTTGGTTCTTGTGAACTTGCTCTTCCTCTCAAAGACAAAGGTATGATGCACACATTGTACTAATGTTTTTTGTGTCGCGCCATTAATTTCTGAATGCAGGACTAATAGAGTATTATTTCACAACTTTTTTTTTTTTATTTTGTTACACAGAGATGTCATACAGGGGAAACCCAAGGCGGGAAGCTTATGCAACAATCCTGCATTCGGCTCATGTCTATGTCTGTGGTGCCATAGCAGCAGCTCAGAGCATCCGAATGGTAGGGTCTACTAGAGACTTAGTCATCTTGGTCGACGAGTCCATCAGTGACTACCATCGGAGTGGTCTTGAGGCAGCAGGATGGAAGATCAGGACAATCCAAAGGATAAGGAATCCAAAAGCAGAAAAAGATGCCTACAATGAATGGAACTACAGTAAGTTCCGATTATGGCAACTAACAGATTACGACAAGATCATCTTCATTGATGCTGATCTACTCATCCTAAGGAACATGGACTTCCTTTTCAGTATGCCGGAGATATCAGCCACAGGAAACGATGCTACTCTATTTAACTCGGGAGTCATGGTTATAGAACCCTCGAATTGCACTTTTCAGCTACTTATGGATCATATAAATGAAATCGAATCATATAATGGAGGTGATCAAGGATACCTTAATGAAATTTTTACTTGGTGGCACAGAATTCCTAGGCATATGAATTTTTTGAAGCATTTTTGGGTAGGCGACGAGGAAGAGAAGAAGCAAATGAAGACTAGGCTATTTGGGGCAGAACCCTCTATACTTTATGTGCTACACTACCTTGGTATCAAGCCATGGTTATGCCATAAGGACTATGACTGTAATTGGAATACAGATTTCTTACAGGAGTTCGCGAGTGATGTAGCTCATGCAAGGTGGTGGAAAGTGCATGATGCAATGCCAGAGAACCTGCAGCAGTTTTGTCTGTTGAGAACAAAGCAGAAGGCTCAGATTGAGTGGGATAGAAGGCAGGCTGAGAAAGGGAATTACAGTGATGGGCATTGGAAGATCGCGGTTAAAGATAAGAGGATGAAGAAGTGCATTGATAAATTGTGCAACTGGAAGGGTATGTTGAAGCATTGGGGTGAGACAAATTGGACTGATGATGAGCCTATTGCTCGTGCACCGCCTGCTATTAAAGTGACTCCTCTTTCTTCCTTACATTAAACCAGGATTTTTGATCAATTTTTTCCCTTTTATTTTATTTTCTGAAAATACCGCGATATACTTGGATTCATCTTTGGATTTGGTTTAGCTATAGAATGTATACAAACTGCATAAAGCTCTTCACTATAGTAATTTAGCCTCTTAACCTCCACACTATTACAGAAATACAGAGCAGATGTTTCAGAAATCAAATCAGCTGTCCATTTTTTTTTTTTTCAGATTTCTTAATTCAGTAAAGTTAAGGACAAGTTTTGCTAGAAGCACGAGTTTCAACCAAAATAAGCCTCGAATTGGATTTTAATCCGGCCATCTTGAAGGAAAATGGAAACTAAACTTAACATGTTGCACTGTCAAAGATTGACAGCTACCTATGCAAATTAGTTGATGAAATTGAAGAATGTCTTTGACTTAAAGAATCGTTGCTCGAAATCCAAAGATCAAAGGCAATGAATTACCTACCTCATAGAAACAGGTTTAAGCTGTCTAAATCTTGAGTACTTTATGTGCAAAACAATCCCTTACTACAAAGGTCTATATTCTAGGTAACAATCATTATCACTTTTTCAGTACATCAAAATCACAGTAGGAAATTGCTAGCTAATTCAATTGATCTCATTTTTATAATGATCCTCCACATTTAGCAATGAATGAAAATGTTCAACATACCGTTAGAGAAGATGAGCATACCTTTGAAAAAACTATCCGTAAATGAACCTTGTGGTGCCTTCCAATAAATGATCATACATAGCACTGGAGCAAAGTGCACTATCACAGTCATGCTTCACTAGCCTTATGTGTAACATTGTCACGAAGATGAGAATCGTGACAATGTGATTATATGAACACCCATCCATTGATATTGTTACATACTGAACCATGATTTTGCATACCTTAAAAGGAAGTCACTTAAATCAGAGCAGGGAATTGAAATACTTGCCTTGTAGTTAATTTGCAGGACTAAATTACGATACTAAAATCTGATAACAAGCACTCATACAAGAACTTTGAGCTCATATATTGATCATAATGTAATCTTTTTTCATATCTGAGTACTCATATTGGTGTGTACATAGCATCTCCAATCTATATGCATCGGTCAATTGATGATACAAGTAATATATAGGAGTACGCTGAGTACCAACTAGTTCATTTTTCCTCATGCGAGGAATCAGAAGCTAGAACTCCATTCATGAGCCTGTATAAAATTTTGAGCAGAATAAGCACTGAGGTGCACTTCAGGAATCCTGCTACTCCACTTAACGCGCTTAGACACATCAGCTCCTGGTCCCTTATTCCCAAACTCCCCATAGTAAAGGGTAGACAATGCAAAGTCTTCCCTGAACGGCATCCATCCCTCAGGCGATATAAGACCATCCATTGTACATTGTATGAACATTGTCCTCGAGTACATCTTCCAAGGCCTCCCAAGGTAATTCTTGTGGACCTTGGGATTTTGTTGCCATAACTTCATGTACTCATTGGTTCCGCTAATGTGACATCCAAGGAACACAAACCCTGTAGCCTCAGCAGGGTCCGTCCTCCCTTGAGCTGTGATGGCATTGTTCTCACCCTTTGAGGGGTCCACTTGGCGCGGCCTGACTAGGATGGTGCAATCTTGGAAGATGGCAGCTGCATTGCCAAATATAAAGTCCACATTGCCCTCCATGCTGCATGATCTGTAAACTTGTCTAAGGGAGTGTGCATAAAGGGTGTCTTGGTTGCCTAAGAACTCACAATCTTCGACAAGGGAAAAATCACTGTCTGATCGGAATGCTACTGCTTGGTGTGCGTTTGGGCCTGCCGTGTTCTGGAATGTTATCCCACTCGCCATGAACCCGTCTCCTTTAACACCTACACAAACATAAGGGCCATCGATATTCAATTTACAACTAAAATAAGTTCATCAAAAATCACTTGTTAGTTGTTACAAAAATTTTGAAAATTCAAACATAATTAATTGAAAAGGACAGGAAAGCATAATTAACCTTACCTTTTAGCTTTTGTTACGGATTGATGTCCTATAAGATGCCACCTATTTTGTATTTTCAACACTTTTTGACTATGTGATCCTCTTCTAGCTAATTCTTTGTCCTTTTGAATTTATTAATGCATTTAAACTACTTTATCTAATGTTTATAACTTTCAATCCCTGTTCCCTAGTTATGAATAAGCCCATAACCAATTGACCAAAGGAGCAAGCTAGTAGTAGCATTACATACACTATCAGGTATTCAATTATACTCGTCCAGTACAATACTTCTATGTACGGAGTACTACATAGGCGGATAGCTCGGTTGGTTAGAGTCTCCCTCCTTATTTCGAGAGGCAATACATATACAAAACTATAAGAGTAACACATTCAATTGATCAATTCTTGCATAACTACTCCGTATGAAATAAGAAATGACATTACTAGTAAATAAGTAAAATTAAGTTTTAATCAACAAAAAACAATCAACAACATCTAAGTAACAATATCGACTTAATTTAGTAGTAATGCATTAAAGAACACGAATAGACTTACCAACAGTAGCTGTGTTATACGTACTAATCCCCATAATCCCTGTATTTACTGACCCTGTAATGACCGTTTTACCCTTCCCATCACCAAAAAACACCAAATTCTTCTTCTCTAAGGGCACCATCACATTCTCCTTATACACTCCTTCCTTTATGTAAATTACAAATTTATCCTTCCCCTTCGCCTTCAACCACGCTGGTGCCTCGTTCACCGCCTCTTGCACTCGCGCGTAACACCCACGCGCCTTTCCTTCCTTACAAACCGTCACATTTACCCTTCCCCTCAACTCCACTCTCCCTAACCCAAACCCAAGACCCGACCCGGACCCACTACCTCTCTCCCAAAACCCGCTACGCTCCGTCGAAGGAGGACGCCACGACTTCATATCATCCCCATAGTTGATCAGCGCGTGAAGTAAACTAAGAGCGTTACTAGTCGTCTGCATGAGAGTAGAGTTCAAAAACGACATCGTTTTGTCAACCACGCGCGTCCCATTGACGTAAGAAAGCTCAGACCAGCAGTCATACTGGTAAGTTAATGCGGCGCTAGCCCATGCACGTGCATCATGAAGAGTATCACGTGACGTGAGGGCATTGGAAGAAATACGTGTACGGTAGGAGGAGAGAGTGAGGTAATCAAGGCACGTACGCGAGGCTAGTGTACGGTTATGATGGTTAGGGAATGTACGGAGTATGTCATGGACCAATGATTGGGCGGTTTGGACGTGGTGGGATGAAAGTGAAAGCGTGGTTTGGATGCTATGGGTCGGGTTTATGTTACGGGTCGTGTTCGGGTTGGAGTCGAGGAGGGTGGATTGGCACGTGAGAGGGTATTGAGTGGCTTTGCAAATGGAAAGGAAGGGAGTTGAGAAGGAGAGAGAGTGGTGGAGGAAGGTGGAGAGAGAAAGGAGGAGGAGGAGAAGGTGGTGGTGCGGTGAGGGCATTATGGTAATTTCAGTGAGTGAAGTGGAGTGGGCACTGGGCTGTGGAGTGATAAAAATGGAAAGTGAAGTGGGGAAGGTGTAAATAAATAGAGTAGGGAAATTGAATAATGAGGTAAGTCGGTAAGATTATTGTGATTTGTTGAGTGTTGGATTTTTATTGGTGAAAGTGGACCCATGGTGTTACCACGGATTGTTTAGCTTCATTAAAATTTGACGAATCTAATACGAAGTACGTAGTAAAATCTTACGGAGTACGTAACTATATTTTTGTTCAACAAACAATAAATCATTAAAATTAGTCAAAGTGATTCATACATATGCCAACCTTTTACTTCTTTTTAAATTATCGTACTTGTCAGATCAAAGTTTGGTCAAATCAGACAATCAGATCAGATCAAGATAAGTAAAAATAAGGTGAATTAAATAACCTCTAAATTAAAATTAAATGATTTATAAAAGATACTTGTATGTAATATGAAGTATTATACTACATATTTATACTAAAATAAGTTTGGTTTGTTAATTAATTGCTACTCCGTAGTAATTTCAATTTATCAAAAATCAAATACTACCCCCGTTACATATTATTTGCAACGATTTGACATAAAATAGAGAGAAAAAATATTTAATCGTTGCAAATAATATATAACGGAGGTAGTACTTGCTCTGAGTAATAGTAAATAAAACATGTGTAGCAGGGATCGGAGAATGGGGGAAGTGCAAGGGTCTGTTCATACACCAAACAAAAAATATTGCGCTAAACCCTGAAACACACAAACTGACATAAACCAACTGCAAATCTGCAATTCTGGTAACAAAAATTAGGGTTTATTCAAATTTGGGGATTTTACCATAATTGTGGCGGGAATGGATAAATCCACCACTAAACGGAAGAAAAACACCGGAAAATCCAAATTCCAGAGTGTAGATATCATTAGGGATAATCAACCTCTCAAATTCCGTCAAAATTCCGACAAAAATGACGAAAAATCAAACCCTCAAATTCAAGACGATGAAGCCGATTGGGAAGAAGGTTGCATTCCATCTTCTTCATGTCCTAACAACAATAATGTTAATAGTGTTAATCAAAATAATGGGGTTACCATTGAATTTGACGCTTTGCCTGAATCGCCGAAAAAGAAGCGTATTCGAAGAGCTACTGCTGAAGACAAGGTGAATTCTTGTTTTTTAAAGTCTTATTTCCCTTGAATTTTATGCAATTTTGGTTTTTTTTTTTTTTTTGTTTTTTTTGTTTTTGTTTTTTTGTTGTAAAATATTGTTGGTGATGTTTGAATTTTCAGGAATTTGCAGAGCTTGTGCATAAGGTTCATTTGCTTTGTTTGATTGCAAGAGGGCGGTTAATTGATGCTGCCTGTGATGATCCTCTTATTCAGGTGATAATATTGGTTTATTGCTATAATGAAGTTATGAATGGGTTGTTAACTCTTGCCCCTTTAGATGATGAAGAAGTTAACTACTTGTATAGTCAGTGGCGGATCCAGGATTTGATTAATAGGTGGTCCCATCATCGTCCATCGACCGCATAAAGTATCAAAAAAAAGTCAAAGCTTGTATAATGAACAAAAAAAAAATTACATAAAAAAGTTCATTTCATAAAGTAATGCAAATTCGTATTACAACTAAAAAATTATTAATTTTATTACAATTGCTCTCGACGAGTTTTCATATTTTGATAACGATTTACAATATCATCCATGCTAACATTCAAAAACAAATCTCTTTCTAAATAAGTAATCAAACAATCATTCAACATTTGATCTCCCATGCTATTACGCAATTTATCTTTCACTTGCGTCATTCCGGAAAATACTCTTTCTACACTTGCCGTTGCAACAGGAAGAATCAACACTAACTTCAAAAGTAAGTAGACTCGATCATGAGTTTCAAACTTTCCCGTCTCAACAAGTTTCGTAGAAAGTTCACTTAGACTTTTCAAATTCCAAAATCTCTCATCATTTCGAACATCAACAATAAAATTTTCAAGTGAATGTTCAAAAAATAATAACTCAGAGCTTGAAAATTCATCGGGATAAAATTTGGCAAGTTGAACTAACTTTCTTTTGTCAAAAGAATGAAATCGATTTGCAGGATTAAAGCAAGACATACACACAAGTAATTCCTTACTTACCTCGGGAAATCAATTTTCAAGTTCTTGTAATTGAAGATCAATGACACTTAGAAAAACTTCAACTCTAAAATGATGAAGATTAGTCACTTGTGGACCTTTACCTCTATACATTCTTCTCCCAGGAACCACATATCGCCCCTCCATGTTTGGAACCTCAATGCCATATTTAGCCATAAAAGAAGTGACTTTTTCCATATGTGAATCCCATCCTTCATCTCTCAATTTTTGCAAATTAGTCTTGGTTACATCAACCATGACCATTGCATTTACAATATCTTGATCATGTTTTTGCAATGCCACATTCAACGCATTTGTAATTCCAAATATATCAACCATCAAGTGTGCCACAAACACAAAATCAAATGACATCAACAAGTGTGTAATAGATTGTGCTTTATTCGAATCAAGTGTATCAGATACTTCTGCAATGGAATCAAGTGACAAAAGTATTGAAGGATATAAATCAAGCACATTCAAAATGGTTTTAAAATGAGATCCCCAACGAGTATCACAAGGTCTACATAAGCCACGTTCTTGATTTAAACCAGTTCCCAATTCAATTTCACCCAAGGACAATGCTTCTACAACCCCTTGACGTTGTTTTTCTCGAAGAAATTGTCTCCTCTTAGGTGAACCTCCCACAAAGTTCAAGAGAGGTGCAAGTACATCAATAAAAAGCCAACCACAATCTGAGTTTTTCTTAGCAAGAGCAACTTGTGTCAATTGAAGTTGGTGAGCAAAGCAATGAACAAAGTATGCTTGAGAACATTCATTCAAAATTAGAGTTTTAAGGCCATTGATTGAACCTTGCATATTACTTGCCCCATCATAACCCTGACCTCGAACTTGAGAGAAAGTTAAAGAGTGTTCCATGAGTAATGACTCAATAGCAGCTTTGAGAGTCAAAGAACTAGTATCAGGAACATGCACAATACCAAGAAAACGCTCACACACTTCCCCCTTTTTATTAACAAATCTCAAACAAAGTGCCATTTGTTCCTTATCGGAAACATCGGCAGATTCATCAGCAAGAATAGCAAAAAATCCACCATCAAGTTCTTCCAATATTGCTTTAGTTGTTTCTTTAGCACAAGCATTGATTATATCTTTTTGGACACTTGGAGAAGTAAGTTGACAATTACCAGGGGCCATTTTAAAAACAACTTTGGAATACTCAGGATCATGGTTTGAAAGAAGAGTTAATAACGAAAGAAAGTTACCTCTAGACAATGAACTTTCCTTTTCATCATGACCACGAAAAGGCAACCCTTGGAACAATAGCCATTTAATGGTTTCAATTGAAGCTTCTAATCTCTTACGATAGGCACTCATGGTTTCCGCTGTTTGTTTTGATAAAGCGGTGGCAATGCTACTCATTTGATTCATGAAAAAGTTCATAGCAATCACAGCATTATTGTGAGCACTCTTGTGTCCACCAACATGCTTTACAATTGTGTCTCTTCTATTCCAACGTCTGAAACCTCCATTAACAAAAGCATCCACTCCCGCTGTGTTACCATCCTTAAATAGATAGCAAATGAAACAAAAGGCAGCATCTTTCTCAACACTATACTCAAGCCATGTTGGCCAAGTATCAAACCAATTAACATTAAATCGACGTTTTTTCGGCCCAAAAAGTGTTTGAGGAAACACATGATCTTTAGGTTGACATGGCTTTCTTTGAATGTATGTTCTCCGCACTAAATCCCTATCATCGGGATGAAAATCACACATCCTTCTTCTTTTCCCGGGGTCTTGTGGAAGATTAATAATATCAAGTGCACTTAACCTTCCTTCACCAATTTGAGCACTAGGATCCGAACCACCTTGGGGAAAAGATTGCCCATCTTCATTTTGAGGGAAATTGTGAGATGGGGAAGAATGTTGTTCACTAGCATGATGTAAAGGAGAACTTGGTTCACTTTCTTGAAAGGGTAAATCATTTTGTGGAGGAGGAGTATCATTTTGTGGAGGAGGAGTATCATTTTGTGGAGGAGGAGGATTTAGAGTACGCACTTTTTTAGTAAAAAAACTTGAAATATCTCGAGTTGTTTTTCTTTTCATTCTGAAATTGAAGTTAAATGTTGAATTAGATAAATCATACAAGAAGGTAGGGTTCTCTCAAAGTTAATAAAACTAATAATATTATCAAAAGAACGCTCATTAACCTCAATTTCAATCCATCCTTCAACCCCAAATCTCCAAATTAGCAATCACCATTCTCAATAGCTAATAAGCAAGTTGGACAACTATTATCATTTATCAATTAAACAGAAATAATACTATAAAATAATAGGGCTCAAATGGTCAAATATCGGCCACAACTCACATTCACAAATCACAACATTCAACCTCTAATAAAATCATACAGATAATCAAGTGACGATAATCAAGTCATAAGATTCAAGCTCTAATAAAGTCATACAAATAATCAAGCTCTAATAAAATCAAGAAATTTCACCAAAAAAAAAAAAAAAAACAACTCATACAGTAAATTCGTGAATCGTGATATACATATAATCTGATAATTTTGATAATTAAACATTTAAACTGATGATTTGATATAGAATCTAATCAATTTGCAATGTAATTATGTAAATTAAAAGTTTAAAACTAACCTCAAAACAAAATTGAATTCACGGAGTACGGAATGAAGACCTCACACTCACGCCTGAGCAGAGCCTTGCTGCGGTTGCGGGACGCCGGGACAGACGACTGAAGTTGCTGGCGAGGTCGGCGACGGGGTTGCTGGCCAGTGGTTTTGCTGCGGTTGCGGGCAGTGGACTGAACTAAGTCTCACGCTGCTCTGTTCTCAGTCTTCTCACGCTACGCCTCAACGCCGCTAATAGGACGCCGCGACGGTGAGAAGGAGCAAGAAAAACGGCCGGTGAGGCGGTGAACGGCGACGGGGTTGCTGGAGTTTGGGGATTTCGATTTAGGTGAGTTTGGGACTTAGGGTTTTAATTTGGGGGAATTGGGGTTCTGACTTATGTTTTCATCCTAAAGCAAAAAAAAAAAAAATTGTGAGTAATGGGATTTGAACCCACGTCTCATGAGTGGTAGGATGGGAAAAAAACCACTAGGCTGCAAGCTAAATCCTTAATACATAGTGTTTTTTTTTTTTTTTATAAAATAATAGGTGGTCCGCGGACCCACTATGACTACACGTGGGTCCGCCACTGTGTATAGTTGTATGTTACTCGGATTTGGGTACTCGTGTTCTAGTATGGGCATGTGTATTGGTGTCCAAATTGGCTATTTTAAGAAAAAAATATTGATTTTGGCCCTAAATGAACTGTTACATGGGTACTTGAGGCTCAATGAACAATTAGAGTAGTATAGGGAAGCTAAAAGTAGTGATATTAAGCATTATCCAAAGCATAATTAAACACTCAGCGATGTGACTTTGTCATAAATTTATTATATAAGGAAGTAGGAGTATATTACTCAGTAAATGCTTAAAGTTAGCTGTGAAAGCTACATATATATTATGGGTGTTTGAAATTTAGATACCAATAAGTTGATGGGAAAAAAATTGCTATGTGGTGTAACATGGGATTTATGACTAAGTACTTAAGTAGGGTCGTAGGGATGTCAAACTTGTAGAATATAATGTGAGAGATATGAAGATATAATCTCAAGAGAATGTAAGAATTGGATGGATGTAGTCGTTTGAAGACTGCTTATGATCAGGGAAAGATGTTCTTCTGTCTCTCTCCGCTGCAAACAAAAAAAAAAACTTTGCGGCTGTGTTTGTCTCTCACAGTGTCATGTGCATTAGACAGACCTCTTCCTATCTTGTTGATATATCGCACCTACTTTCTTAGATAATTTGTACACTAGAATTGATGATGAAAAGGTTGAATCTATTTTCAAAATCTCCCAAGTATTGGAAGCCGTTTAGGTCAAAAATCTATATTGGCTTACTAACTAAGTTGAATCTCAGTCTTCTCCCTCAATGGATAGCTTGCTTCTTGTCTGAAGGAGCTAATAAATTAAAAGAAGGCTGAATTCGCTAGGAGGATTCAATGAATTCTATCTAATCTTGACTTATGCTGGGTCTAGGGAAGTTCCCATGTATGCAGTCTTATCCCTACCACTGTAACACTGAAAAATGAGCGAGGAAAGAGTATGTTTTTAATAGATCCATAGGAAGAAGGAAAATAACTATTTTATGGGGCCTGCCCCTCTCTTTCACACCAAATAAAAAAAAAAAAAAGAAAAAAAAATTGCTTCCCTTTTTTTTTTTACTTTGAAGATTTTCATAAGTAGAAGTGTAGAAACTAGAACACAGTCAACACACATCAACAATAGCTTCCAAGGAACTTATCTATCTTGCAGAAAAAGTTTTTCTTCTTTTTCACATCTCTATACTTTGCATAATGCTTGCTATAGCTTTCTGTTACTCTTGGTCCTTGTACCTGATTTTTGAAATTGATTGTTGTGGCAGGCTTCTTTACTATCACTTTTACCACCACACTTACTGAAGTTATCAGAAGTTGCCAAACTTACTGCTAATGCTTTGACTCCTCTTGTCTCTTGGGTAAATGACATGTTTATGCTTTCAACTATTTGCTACTCATCCTATGCTGTAGACTTTCATTGATTCTCCTGATAAATTTTTGCAGTTTCATCAGAATTTCAAAGTGAAAAGCCCCAGCAGTGCAGAAAAACCTTTTCAATCAGCTCTAGCATACGCTCTTGAAGCACAAGGAGGGAGTCCTGAAGAGGTTCTTACATCTTAAGAGACTTAGTTGGCTCATTTTAGTTGTAATTATATTTCTTATTTTGTTTGTGACATGATAGATGCTGTGAGCATGAAATTGGAATGAATGGGCTGATATACTTGCCAATGAACCATCAATTCCATTTTTTGTTACTGTAGATCTTAACATTGTTGTGACAGAATATCGCATGTTTATACTTGTTACTGAGTATGCAACTGACAAATATGAATTGGGTTGTACTGGTTGGAGAGTATATCATCAGTCATTGTAGTGCTTGCTGTTTGGTTTTAGTCTTAGTCTTGAGTTTGGTTGAAAGTATAACGATGTGTATGCTATTAATCTTTTCTTCATGAGCTTCCATGCATATCCTTTAACTGGAGTTTTGTCACAGGTTGCAGCGCTGTCTGTATCATTATTTAGAGCTCTAAATCTTACAACAAGGTGACTTCAATGAGCTATGTGTAGTATTGTCCTTTTTTTTTTCCTTATATCTGCATTTTTAAAAATTGTGCTATGCATTTAACTGTGCATATCCTCATATGAAGTACATTTTATCTTTTGTCACTGTATTGTCTCCAATCTAAAAAATTTAACCAAAACAATGAAAGAAGCTTAAAAAAGATTTGCTTGTGCAACCTGTGCATGAGTTTTAGGAATAATGGTACCTCAGGTCCTCAGGGAATATGATTTTTTTCTCAATGAAGTTCTGTTTTCCAGGTTTGTGTCAGTGTTGGATGTAACTTCCTTGAAACCAGAAGTTGATGAAAATGAGCAATCATATAATGCAAGCAGCAGGGAGAGAAAAGATATTTTTAACTCTTCAACACTTATGGTTAGTAAAATGAGCACAGGGACAAGTTCTACAAAATCATCTGCTTCCCATGGAAATATCCACATCACTTCTGTTACCTCAGTTTCTGAAGCTAAGAATGGACGCTTGCCAACAAATATCGAAGTTAAAGATTCACTTGCTTCTAATCAGTTGATAAAGTCAGATCTACCCATTAATGAGACACAGAACGCTTCTGAGGAGGACAAGTGCCCAAGGAAGAAAGGAGACTTGGAATTTGAGATGCAGTTGCAAATGGCTATGTCCGCCACAGCACTGGTAGCTCCCGAAAGGAAACCTGAAGCATCTACTAGTGGTTCACCCACTAGTCCATTAGCTTCCCTTTCTCCCTTTAAAAGAATAAAGAGAATCACTGAAGAATCTCCTTCATCCTCCCATGCTATATCTACTGCAATTGGTTCAAGAAAAGTAGGAGCTCCATTACATTGGGCAGAGGTCTATTGCTCTGGTGAAAATATGACTGGAAAGTGGGTCCATATTGATGCTGTTAATTCTATAGTTGATGGAGAGCTGAAGGTAGAGGCTGCGGTTACTGCATGCAAGAAGTCTTTGAGTTATGTTGTTGCCTTTGCAGGCCATGGGGCTAAAGATGTCACGCGCAGGTTGTCTCTCTATAAAAATAACTTTCAATTTTGTTATGGGTGATTTCTGATTCTGACTTATGCAGCTGGGCTTATTTGTCTTTGATTCTTCATTTTATACCTTAATTATGTGCAACCTTTTCTGGATAAAGCTTATATGAATGTTGAATATTTAGTTTAAAGATGGAAAACCTATGGATCCTGTTGGATTTTTTATAACTTAATTCTGGGTTTGGAATCATCAATCAAGTGCGTGTTTCATTAAAGCTTGTCACTACTTGTAAAAATAAGCTATTTTTATTTTTTAGTGAATCAGTTAGCTTTGTGACTGATTGAGCCATAAAAGAGGGTGATATTTAACCTTGGAATTCATTCCATTCTTCGTTTTCATTATTGTTTGATCTCATATTTAATACGGTGTATGTAACAGTTAATTTCGGTTCATTTATAATGATGAAGAGAGTTCGCAAGCTCTTTTTTTATTTTATTTTTATATTTGTTTAAAGTATTGAGTGACAACTAACTGTTGAGAAAGTGGAATTGTAAGTAAAATCTTCAATTAGGCACTTATGAATTTTAAACGCGTATGTTTGTAGTGCAGGTACTGTGAAAAATGGTACAAAATATCCCCAAAAAGAATTTACTTAGAATGGTGGGATGCTGTGTTAGCGCCATTGAAGCAGTTGGAGTCTCGTGCAACTGGTGGAATGGTCCCTGTGCATCACAAAGATATGAAGTCAACAGATTTGGTTGACAGTAGGAGCAGTCTTGAGGACATGGAGTTGGCAACGAGGGCATTAACTGAACCTCTTCCCACAAGTCAACAGGTATCGTGACTGTGATTGATGTTGTTGGCCATTTACATTTGCTAAATGTATGCTCACATTGTTTTGTCCCTTTTGGACAACGTGGTTTGCTAATGCAGGCTTATAGAACTCATCCACTGTACGCTATTGAAAAATGGCTTACAAAGTATCAGATTTTGCATCCAAGAGGTCCGGTACTTGGTTTCTGTTCTGGTCACGCTGTTTATCCTCGAACTTGCGTTCAAGTACTCCGCACAAAAGAAAGATGGCTCCGTGAGGGGCTGCAAGTAAAGGAAAGTGAGCTTCCTGCAAAGGTATTATTTTATAATTTTATGGTAAATTTGCAATATCATAATTTTTGGACTTTGCGGTATTTTTTGACAAGTTCTTTCTTTTTTCTGAAAGGTGGTGAAGAGTAGCTCTAAGAATCGTAGAGGACAAACTATTGAAGTAGAAGATCTCTGCGAGGGTGGGTCAGATGAAGTTGTTTCTCTGTTTGGAAAGTGGCAAACTGAACCGTTGTGTTTGCCTCCTGCTGTAAATGGAATTGTGCCCAAGGTGGGAATGTGTGTATTTTTACAGATTTTGTGGTGTATGATTTTTTATAGTTTAATTTTGAGTTTTTTCATCCTTTTTTGTTTTCGATGTTTGCAAAAATGCTTGATTTTATGGGTTGGCTGGACGAGTCATCTGGTTTTCTTGGATTTATGGTTTGTACTTAGTCTCTATTCCTCTGCTTGTAGAATGAGCGTGGTCAAGTGGATGTTTGGTCTGAGAAGTGCCTCCCTCCTGGCACTGTGCATCTGCGGTTTCCAAGGTTGGTTCCTGTTGTGAAGAGACTCGGGATCAATTTTGCTCCTGCCATGGTTGGATTTGAATTTCGAAATGGACGGTCAATACCTGTATATGAAGGCATTGTGGTCTGCACAGAATTTAGAGAAACAGTTTTAGAGGTAACAGTGACACTTTCATCGTATTTAATTCTTTTGCTAGTATTGGTCACTAAATATATAGGTTGGCAGGCATATGCAGAAGAGGAGCAGCGAAGAGAGGAGGAAGAAAGGAAGAGGGAGGAGAGGCAGGCACTTTCTCGGTGGTACCAACTTCTATCATCTATGGTTGTTCGACAAAGATTGAACAATACTTATTTGAGCAATGTGGAATCAAAAACTGTTACTGAACCCTTGAAGACTCGGAATAAATCTTCATGTGCTGCTTCTGCAAATGTGAATGAAAGTACTGTGCCTCACCGAGATAATGTCCGTGGAGCTAAGATTCATGACTCAGACAAAATGCACTTGCAAAATCACGAACATGTCTTTTTGACAGATGATGAGAGTTTTGATGAGGATAGCATGACTCGAACAAAACGGTGTAGCTGTGGAGTATCAGTTCAGGTGGAAGAGCTTTAACACTTGAATGCACTACAGAATAATTTACTGTTGGCATGAAGGATTTTTAGTTTTGGGAAATTTAGTGCTGAAACTTTGTCAAGATTTTGGGAAGGAAGAGGAAGGAGATGAGATAGAATGAGTCATGGTTTGGGGTTTTCATAAGCACATCAGCACATTTTTAACTGGTATGGCCTTGCTTAATTAGGTTGGGTTTTTTGTGTATCTTGAGCCAATGTTGTATAAAATCTGATTTTGGTTATGATCTAGCTTCAGAGTGTAGCTTGCCAAATCGGAAGCTATGATAAATTTTAGGTCTAACTTGTAATTTAATGGTAAAGGTTTAGTTATATCCAATCCTGGTTTTGGTTCTTGGGGTGCCTGGTTTCGAGCTCAAGGCTAGAGAAGCTATGCATGTAAATTCAACTGATCTTTATGCTTTTTAATTGTTGCACTTAAAATTAGCGTGTATCTAGGATTTGGATGTTCTATTGAGAAAGCTATGAAGCTTGATGTTGATCATTTGCATCAGCTAGTTTTACGTGCTTGTGTGTGTGTTTTTTTTCTCTCTTCAACTTGTGAATAGTGAAAATGTGAGACAAAATCTTGTCACACTTCAATGTTGCTAGTCTTTTTGTCATTCACAGCTTTTTAGCTACGAGTACTTGTTACAATCAATGCTTGGATGCAACTTGCAAGAAGAAAATACTTGTTAATATGTCATATTAACAAAACATGTTAATATAAAGGGTATTTTTATATTTTCTTAACTTATTTTTTATTTTCTTAGCTTCAACCCCTTTGCATTCAACACATGACCATTAGCACTACTACCATGACCACATCAAGACCATTGGCACCACCATCACAACTATTAACACCATCGCAAGACCATAAGCACCACCACCACGGCCATTAACACCACTACACGAGCAAATTCCTTTTTCCAAAATGGTTAGTACAACCCCAACTTACATGCTTTGCAACTAGGGTGTTTTTCGGCCGGCCGACCAAATTATACCCCAAAGGCAGTCCTGCAACGGTGGTTGTGTAAAGGAGAGAGCAGAAATGCTTTGGGAGGGTAGAAGAAAAAAGGAATTGCTTTTGGAGGGGAGGAGAGAGAAGCATGTAAATATTAAAATAATATATTCTAGCTCTCATATTTGCAAAATTGCCACTATACTAACATAGTTGGTTTATATGGAATATTATCGGGCACAGCTCCATAGCATGATAGCATTGTAAGCCAGTATACTAACATAGTCGATTTATATGGCATATTATCGAGCGTAGCTCCATAGCACTGTAAGTAGGATACTTTTTTTTACTTTGTTTTGTTTTGTTATGTTTTCAATAAACATAGTCGTTTGGCTATGGGAATGCGTGGGATGCTTCGGTATTGTTAAGTATCCTCTATTCCTTTAAAGGATCATGTACAATACTCAACATCAAAGAGGATGTCTCCAACTGAGCTGAAAAGTTATTCAAGAGGATAAGTATTATACCCTCTGTTTCGGGTGAAAACAATGGGACCTTGCCGAAGGTTTCCTGCACAGCAAGCACACGTAAACTGGCCTTGAGGGTAGATCCGAGGAAGACCCCTCCGATGCCGAAGTCAAACAGTGTTTAGAGAGAAAAGCTATGCAAGAGAGTTAATGCTTGAGGCTTTTATTGTGAATGAATCATAAATGGTGAAATGGAAGGCTTTTATACCTTAGCATGACAAAGGGAAGAGAATGACTGGGCCGGACCTAATCATGGGCTGACCATGACAATTTGGGCCGCTTGACCTTATGATGACTTGGCTTAATGGAGGCTTGGGCCTTGACCTTGAAATATTGGATCATTTAATGACTAGGCCAATTTGGCTTAATTGGACCCCAAACAACTTGCCCCCCAAACCCGATTTGGAAGGATGACGGGTCGGGTTTGAATCCAATAAAAATGGAAGGAAGTAAATGATTTAATTAAATCAAAAGATTTAAATTTTAAACAGTCATTAACGAAATAATTGTAATTAGGATAATTAGTGGGAAGTTGAACGGATAATGGGCAGTTAATTGGAAGGAAGTGTGTTTAACGGTTACTAAAGGAGGTTTTTAAGAGGAATTAATCATTTCGACCTTCGAAATTCCTTTTTCTGGAACTATAAGGCCGGATTTGTTCTCTCTCTCCTCATTTTTTCACCAATTCACACTCGAATTTCCACAGAAACACCATATTTCGCTTTGAAAACTTCGCGCAATATCCCCGAACTAAAGATCGGCATTTGAATCTATTGCTTCGACTGAATTAATCGGCGCATTTCGACCCATTTAAAGGTAAATTTCTTCGAATTTTCCTTGATTTTCTTGAATTTTTGAAAGAACTCCCCTTTTCCCCACTTATCTCTTTCGAATTATACTATGGCTCGAGGAAGAGGGCGTCAACCTGGACGGCGGGGTCAAGCTAGGGACCCCCGGGACCGTGCCGATGTTTGGAATGGGGAACGAGTCGAGGAAGACCCGGAAAGGGGGATTCCGGCCGTCCCTCTGAATGCCGCGCCACCCCAGCAAGACGCCGGGGCCGATGATGCAGAGCAGGTAGAAGATTTGTCTGATGTGATCTAGGACTTGCTCCCAGGGCATGCTGAGTGGCCAAATGTCGAAGCCCAGCGGGCTATGGTAAAAAATGCCCCTTACTCATAGTGGGTTAGGCACGCCGACGCCTATCGGTTTGCCGAACAAATAGAGTTGCACTACGGCATTTTCGAGGAGGATGGGTACTGGTGCCGAATGCCTTCGCCGACTAACAGAATTCATCGTCCCCCACCTGGTACATAGGGGTGTATACTCGGCAGCTGCAGTATGGGCTTCGGTTCCCTCTAGATCCCTTCGTCAGGGACATTCTAATCAAGTACAGGATCTCCCTGTGCCAGTTAACGCCTGTTAGTATTCGGCGGGTGATGACCTATCTCTAGGTATGTCGGTTTTTTGCCGTTGAACCGAACTTACACTGTTTCTGAAGGATGCACCAGCTGGTGCAGAACACCCAGAGCGTATACGGTCACCATGGGCCTGGCTGGTGGCGAATCGAGAGCCATCCACAATATTTGACTATGTGGCCGAACGATTTTTCGGATAAGGATTGGAGAGGCCAGTGGATCTGGGTAAGGGTTCCCGCTGATCCGAAGCACCCCCATTTTTTCGGGGTTCCCCGTTATCTCTCTAGGCCTGATCCGAACATGCAGGATTTGGGCCCCGAAGACCCTGATGCCGCTCGTCATCCTAGCTATGAGCATATGAGCTTCTTAGGGAAGCAGAAAAATCCTGGGGGGACCGGCCGAATGAAGTTCATCCTAACCAGATGGCTTCCAGATAACCATTACGTCTTCCTAAAGAAGATGTTGGCGGTTGTCGGCCTCAGCCGAAAGCACAGAGGTGGTAAGTATCTTCGGCTAGGGCCGAGGACTTGTTTTATTTATTTTTTGCTTATTTTTGGTTTCCATTCCCCAGTCTAACCTTCGTTTTGCCCTTTCAGATCTGAGCGAGGCTACCTCGGGTATCGACTACAATCGGCTAGGGGTGAACGCTGAACGGGTCATCCTAGACCGAGCTCTAGCGATCACATCTCCGAAGGACCGTCCGTTGTATTTGCATTCAACGGGCCTTCAGATCGAGGCTGCTGCGGATTATACCAAGCAGAAGCCTTGGCGGTAGAAGCGAGATCCCCTGAGGCCCTTATTACCCGAGGAAGCACAGGCTGCTCAGACAGCCGAAGACGTGTCCAGGGTGATTAGTTCCTTGGAAGGAGGTGTAGGAACGTCTGGTGCTGCCGAGCAGGGTACCTCTGCAGCCGAAGCTCAGCCGAGGGTTTCGGTAAGCTCCTTAGCTTTTGCTTTGCTTTTGTTGTTTGCTTGTTTTTACTCAAGCCTTTACTGCCCCCCATTTCTGCAGTTTGAGGAAGGAAGCGTAAGGAGAGAAGGGAAAGCTCCTGCTCGTCCTGAAGATTCATCTTCGTCTGAATCTGAAGAAATGGACGAACAGCCCTTGGCCAAGAGGAGGAGGAGGATAGGGCAGTGTTGGGTCCTCGTCAATTTCAGGCAGGGCTGATGCGTAATGGAGGCATACACATAAGGGAGCCTGATGAAGGCAGAGGCTCGCCAAGGGCTCCCCCTCCGCCAGAAAACCCGCCTCCCCGAACCCCTCCTCCACCTCCCAAAACTCAAGAAATGGAGGTGGACCAGAAAACTCCTGATCCGAAAGGGGGGGTTCAAGGAGAAGATGAAGCTGCTGAAAAACCCACTGCTGAAGGTTTCTCAGGTGACATTGAGAGGGAGGTTGACGCCTTCATTCGTCAACCCGAGCTAGGGGAGGAAGAAGAGGTCATCCTTGTTGACCCTGGCAAGGACCAGCTCGGTTCCACCGAAGGAGAAAAGAGTGTTGAGCCGGATAAGGCCCAGGAGGTTCCCTCGTCTTCCTTTCCCTCATTCCAGACGCTGAATTTTGGAGACCTGGGCTTCTCGGCCCCCCGCATCACAATCCCCGAACCAGTTTGGGAACGTAATTGGGGCCAGAATCGAGAATGAGCTGCGGGCTACTTTGGCGACCTTACTGGTATGTCCGAGGTAGATCGAGCTAGGGTGTGGTCGCTGAAGGCCATTGCTGGAATGGGTGAGTCCAGCCGAAGGGTCCCTGACCCTTCTAGAGACAACCAGCGCTTGCTGATGTAGGTACTTAACCGTTTATGCTTTTTCTCTTCTTCTTCTTCTTTTTTTTTTTTTTTTTTTACTGACGTGCTCCTGTAACCAGGTTGTGCACAATCAGACTCTCACTGTAGAGCTGATAAACACCCTCCAGGACAAGCTGGAGCATGCCTGGGAAGATGCCAAGATCGCCCAGGAAGAGGCAAAGTTGGCGGCGCTGAAACAGCAGGCTGCTGAAGAGAAACAAGCTGCTGCCGAAGAATATGAAAGGCAGGCTGCCCAAGCCCTTCAGACCTTCTGCCATGCCATGGAGACTGAGGTCTTCCCTACTCTAATGGCCGGGGAGAAATTCATCAATGAGTTTGGGGCCTTCGACATTCCTAGCTTCAGGGCAGCCATTTCACGCCGAGTGGCTGCCGAAGCTGCCGGGCAGGTCCAGGAGGTGGAGCAGAGGCTGGAAGCCCTTGAATCCAGCAGGATGGCTGCTGAAGATGCTCATCAGGCCAGGGACACTCAACTCTCTGCTGCCCAAGCTGCTGCTGAGGACTAGGACCAAAAGCTGAAAGGTCTGGAAGATCAGCTGAAGGCCAAGGGAGATGAGCTGGCCCAAGCCAAGGTCGAAACTTCAAATGTCCAGCTGGAGCTTGACGAGCAGAAGACTTCTTCCTCCAAACTCTCAGAAGAATTAGAAAAATCTAAAAAAGATTTGGAGGAAAGTCACCAGAAGCTGGCTGATGCTGAAGCCCTGCTCCGGGTTCGCCTCTACACCCAAGAAGAGTATGAGATGGGTTACATGAATGGGTTTAGGGTGGCCCGGAGGCTGGCTCTCCATGCTGAGCCCTCGCTGGACTGGGATA